CTACTGACAGCTTTAATCATTGGTGAGCTGACACTCTGGTGGTACAAATGAGTAAATAAAATGTCAGTTTTGCTTACGATGACATCGAACATAACTGTTCAACCTTGACAAGTCTATATTTTTAGACAAGATAATCACTTCTTTAGACTTTCCTGCAAGAATAACACAGCTAAAATCTGCACAGCTACCACATACACACAACCTGTAAACAATAAAAGACAGCTATTTTTATTTCTGATTTTTTGACAAAAACTAATGGTGTCATTTTTTTTTTTTTTTTACTTCGTCAAAAGGGCAGAACAGCCAACATGCACCCAGCTCCAGAACAGAGAGCAAAAACACTACCTCACCAAAATTGATGGGAGTCCTTCTGTCAGCTCCTGTGGACTCAGCGTTGGTGCTACACATGGTTCCAAGGGTTGCTGCGAAAAATCTTGTGTCAAAGAGGTTCTTTGTTTAAGGCACAACCTGAGTTGTCTGTCAAATGTGGGTCCTGATCCAGGAAAGCACTTAAGCACGTGTAGCATTGTTGAAACCAACAGAACTACTGCTCGCATGCCTAAAGTCACGCATGTGTTTAAGTGCTTTGCCGGCCTGAAGCCTTGCAGAAGTCCTTTATATCATGTTGATTTCAAAGCACATTTTGTTATTACATCACCGTGCTGTTCTTGGCAGGGAATGAATTAATAAATGAGACAAGGAGAGGTTCAGCAGGAGCTGCTGGGGGAGTGGGACACTGCATTCCTTTCAAAACAAGTTTGTGGCAATAAGTTTTCAGGAGCCATGAATCAGCCACGTAGACAGATATAAATAATATGAAGCAGCCGGGCCAGGTGACATACTGCTGCACTACATATATTGCAAGAACATATCAATAGTGGGTACAGTGTATTTTTAATCTTCCTGTAGACTTGGCATCTACCCACCCTCCCAGGCCAGCCGCATTCTGGTTGGTGTGAGAATGCACTCGCTCGTTCTCTCTGCGTGGGATTTTAATGCAATGGGATTGCATGGCAGGAGAACAGCACTGTGGTAAGCCACACTATTGGCCTGCCAGTGCTCTGTAGATATATAAAGCCAAACTGTCCCCATTGAGGACACAGAGGTAAGCATAGAGTTGGGTAGAGAGACATGCTTGCTCTCAAATCGCATGAGCCGAGCTCTTCCAGAGGGATGCTCTGTTACATCCTGGCCTCTGTGCCTGTAACTGTGTTGCTGTTTGAGTGCTGGATTTAAAGATGAGCTGCTTTCATGCAGAGTCCTGTTCAGATCATGCATTTTGGGAAACGCAGGAACCCACCATCATGACATGGCCATGCTACTTACTAGCAGCCAACATCGCACCCTTTGCTGATGGGTTGTCTTGGCATCCAGATCCATGCCTGTCAGTGAGATCTTGGAGCCCACACTGCAGAGAGCACTGTGCCATCATGTCAAGGCACTGTACTTGCACTGACATGTCACTCAAGCTTGCAAGATGCAATGGGATCTGCAGGCAGCGTCTGCTCGGGTAAGGACGGTGTCAAAACCCACACTGGTGTCTCCTCTTGTTGTGGACCTGGGAAGCCTACTTAGAAAGGGAGCAGATACATGGAAAAGAAAGGGCACTTTGGGGAATAGGGCAGGAAAAAGAGGGCAGGTGTAGAACGGACAAGGAAGGAGGAAGAAGAGGAGGAAGGAGGTAGCAAACAACAGCTGTATGAAAGAAACAGCTGAAGGTCCCTTCTGGGACCTCTCTCTGGGGAACTGCTAAAGTGATGATGGGGATGAAGGTGCAGTTATGCTTAAATGTGATGGTGAAAGCACATGCTCTATGCTGTGAGAAGAGGGTGCCGGGGGAAAATCTGGGAATAGAAATTTTGTACCACAAAGCATCTGGTCTGTTTTTATCTGGGAAAGGCATCAGTGCCCCTTATGCTTTGCTGGGATTGAGTTAAATGCAACTTTTACTGATTGCATGAATGTGTGTGTGTGGGGGGGGAACAATAGAAGTTATGGAGCTTTCAAAGTTATCTTCACACATAATAAAATATATATATATAGCACAAGTCTAGTACTTCTTCCCTTGGAAAGGTTCTTTTAAGGAAGCCACTGTACTACAGATACTGACAAGCAGCTGGAAAAACCAACATCTAGTACCATGGAGGCCAGTGGGAAGATGGGCCAAGCTCCCTGTCAGAGCCTCAGCTCTATATGCCTTTGCTGCTGAAATCTGCAAAAACTTGTAAGGAACGACAAGGGATTTATTTATCATTTCATCTGGGAATTCTAGCAGTTTAGGCCCATTTTTCATTTTCTTTCACTCTTTTGATCTGTTTGCTTATTATTACTGATAGACTATTTTAATGCCATTCATGACCAGAATGCAACAGATCATGTAATTAAATGTAAACAAAGTAAAACCAACTATGGTTTTCTAGTCTGCAAAGGGGCCCGATTTAGATTTTTTTCTTTGAACTAGGACCCAATCTCTCCTTTGATGAAAGTTGCAGGAAAGCTCTCAGCAGCAGCTTAAACACACACTGCCAAACTCACAGCAGAGAAGGAGCACTCATACACTTTCAAGAGGATGTTTTGCATCCTGTTATTCCAGCAGCATGCAGCATTGTGGATATCATGGAGGCTGAATTGATGCTTTTCATAGGAAACTTCATTTGGAGAACATTTATAATCATCTTTTCTGGTACATACATTAAACGGGGCTGGGACCTTATACAAAATGAATGCCTAATACAAAGCCCTCTGTCACCAATGGTAAACTTTCTGTGCTTTCTCTGGGATGTGGATCAATTTCTCTGTCTGCAATTGCTGATATAGGAGGAATGTGGTACTTGCATTAAAATCAGAGTTATCATTTGACCAAGCTTGTTGAAATAACAAGCTTGTTGCCTACAAGAGACTTAGCTTCTTTGAAGGATTCAAATCTGCTAAACCATCTGGGAAAGTGAAGATAATCCAAAATGTAATTTTAATATAAGATAATGCAAAATGTAATTTTAATCTATGTCAGAAGTTAACCACTTTTTACAATCTGATTCTTATCTGCAATTCTTACCAATAATGTACTACAGCTTTTACATTTCTTCTTTTAGGACAGATACTTTCAAATCATTCCCTTTTTAAAAAGTCTTCAAGAGGAAGGCAAGAAGAATAAGAGCTTGTGATAATACACTGCAGGACGTGTTACGTTCCCTGTGCCTCCCACATTCAGCTCTGTGCATCATTTTAGTGCAGCTGTAGCTGTGCTGGATAAGGAGTTACCTTTCCAGTCTGACTCCTGCAGCTCACTGCTGCCCTGCTGCAGAGGGAAACTTCAACAGATGGGTGTACTCAGCTTTTTCCCAACTCACGTATCTCATTTGAGCAATTTTGAGTTCCAGGTCCTGGCTAGTTGGGATTTTTGTCTGGAACAACTTTGGGAACACTGCCCAAGTAGCAGCTGCCTCCTGCAAGTGATGACGACCTTGGTGCCATGTCATCATGCTTTTCCACACCCATGAACTCCTTGGCCATGGGTTACCTTCACAGAGCATTATCCGTCTTGGATCTTGAGCCTGTGGGGGTCTCACCAGGCAAAGGTCAAAGATGCCGACAAAGTGCACCTTTTAAAAATCACTGAGATATCTAACCACTGCCACCAGAGATTTGAAAAAATATCTTGCAATCCTTGCAGGGGTTTTAAAGCTCTGCATGAGTTGAGCCAAGTGGCTCTATTCAAGAAGGGTGCCTGGAAACTGAAGTTAGAGGAAGGAAGTCTTAATTTAGGTAGGAGATGTCAGTGCCTGGACAGGCTGTGAGTAAAACTGAAGCACCTCACAGAAAGAATAAGTTGCTATGCAGCAGTAGAAATTGGGAAGGACAGAGGTCTTCTGGGAGGGTGAGGGAAGGAAGATCCTGCAGCCTGTGAAATACACAAGGGGAGGGAGCAGGAGAGCACTTGGTCACTTTTTACCGCTTTCCCGCACTGTTCTGCCCTCTGCTCCATTTGGCTGTGAATAGTGATGGTGTTAATTGCTTTTCAAAGATGGCATTTATTCTACATGACACTATTTACTCTGAGTGTAGGAGGAGGTGACCCACTGATTATTCTGATGGACCAAAGGAGCAGAAAGTCAAGTTTCAAGCTATTGATGTGACTTAAAAAACATGCATGGATTTTGCCTCTGGACATAATCAAGTCAACATGTTCAGTATTGGTGTATGCTTAAAAGGCAAAGTAAAAGCAGATGAAATGTATTTATAAGCTCATCAGCCAATGAATGGATGAAACAGAAAAAGAAATAAATGGGAAAATGTCAGCCAGGATAGAAGAGATAGTCACTGTGAAGTTCACATCCAGACCAACAATTTGGAGTTAATTCCAAAAATCAAGGTATCTTGATTTATAGTGGGGGAAAAAAAAAAAGTGACCCTTTATCAACTCTGAATTTAAATATAAACCAGTAAAAATATAATCTGGTGTGAAGAAGAACCTTTTGCCAGATTGCCCCAGGCTAGGAAAGGCTAAGGGGCACTTAGGTCTGGCCACTTGCAAATGTGTGGCTTTGATTTGAAGCTCAAAATCTTAAATAAAACAAGGAATATAGAAAGCAATGTTACAACAACAAAGCCCAGTCTTCCTTACATTTCTCAACTCCAGATAAAATTGAGTATAACCCTGAGACTGGTGAAGAGGAAAGAAAAGTGGAGCAGGAAAATACTGCTTCCGTCTGTGTTTTTCTGCCCTGCTGAAATTGCTGCTTTTTGTGCAGGCAAAAATATCATATTTAAAAGCTATTTTCAGGAACATGAAATACAGGGACAAGCAGAAAGAAACAGCAGCCTTGTTAATTGAAATGTGAAGGCAGAGTAGTAACACAACATACCGTCACTGAACCATCCATCTTTTAAAAATTATTTAGGGAGTTGAGAAGAAGACTTTACATTTCATAAAAATCTCATTGTCTGATCTAGTTCAGTATTTAAGAGAAAGGGATATGAGGAAAGCAGCATAATGAAACCCAGCCCAAGGAGGCCAGACTAGAACAAAGGGATTGCTGTTGATTTTGTGTCAAGCTTTGCCACAGTTTGACTGTATGAGCTGGAGCAAGTCTTTATGACCATGCTGCCATCAAAGGTGTGATTGCAGCTCATATAATCATGCCCTCGAGCACTCTTTGCATCAGTTTAGCCATCTGTAACAGAGCCATGATACATTTTTACCTCTTTTAAGGTCTGTGGAAACGACTGACGTAATCCAAGTTTGCAAAAGCTTTTGTGGACTACTGATGAAAAGCATGGAAATGCAAGATGCTGAATATTTCTGCTCATTGAACCTACCAGTAGAGGCATGTGTCTTGCCGCTGGAGGAATCTTTTAATAAAACAAAATCCATTCCTCATCCACTTTGCAAAACTATTGCTGTGAATTGACGCAGGCTTAACAGTATAAGCCAGAGCACAGAACTGAGCAACACTACTCAAATATATGTTCTTGGCAGTTTCTTCATGCAGATCATGACCACGATCTGTTTAATGAATGTATGTTATTTAATGATCCATCCGATGTTGATTTAGAAAAAAACAAATTGCAATATTTGTGCCCAGATGGCAGCTAGGGGAAGATGACTCAAAACTAACTGTTCCCTTAGTTCTAGTAGATCTCTAGGCTAGAAACAGCCCCTTGAAATGGCTTTAAATGAGCTCAAGTGGGGTTTACACACTGATATTCGTAACATAATTTTTGTTTCAGAAAAATAGTAACTGTGAACACACACATAACAGAGGCTTAGTGCACAAAGCTTGTAATATATAATTCATGAGGAATATTTCTTTAAAAATGGAGAGCAGGAGTATCACTTATCATTCCCACATGGAACAAGTGGTGAAAAGGTTGTGGAAATAGTTTTTATTGTTATCATATGTTTTCCCTAAATGTTGTTATAGGAGTAAACCCTTTTTGGTATTACTTACAATATGCTATTGTTTGACATCCAACATTACACTTATGTTTGAATAGCCTGCCCTTGTAGCATCCTTCTTTGCCTTTGTTGATTAAGTATGAGATAAATATACCATTGTTTCCATGGTATATAAAAACTACTCAGTCTCCTGTTGGGTGACTGAATATTAAAAGAATGGCAGGAGTGATCTTTGTGAAATAACATACTCGGACAGTTGCTCTTTGGACTAAGGGATCCAGATTCAATGCTCTGCTCCAGTTTCCTTCCTTTGCCCTAGGATGGTGCACCCACCTCCTGTGGAGTCTGGCAGGCTGTATGACTCTCACTGCTACCCAGCTCCTTCAAGGAGGAATTTGCAGCCTGAAGCAGATTTGGGGATGAGTAAAGCTTCCTGCAGTTAGTTTCATTTGACTTGTGTGGTCAAAATGAATTATTGTGGGTCTTCTGTGAAAGGTGATCAAGGAGGTCCTGCTGAAAAATATGTGAGTCTCTAGCATAATGTATTTCAAGTTTTAGGAAAACACAACTTAGAGATGTAAGGGAGGAGGAAGTTTTGAACATTCAATTTTTTATGGTTTTCAGGTGAACACTTGAAGTTTAGAATAAGGAATTTTCATTCTTGTTTGCTAATTTTTTCTTGGAAAATCTATTTTTCTGACCATGTATTGCCACTTCCATGTGAAAGGCGTAGCAGATCAGTTTTATTCTATGGAAAGCAGCTGCAGTAAGCTAGCAGACATCCTTCATTATGTCCCACCTGCCAAGAAACCGTTGTGTTGTACTGATGTTGATGAATATCAATGCCCCATCCCTGTAAAGTGTTCAAGGGCCAGGTTGAATGGGGTTCTAAACAACGTGGTCTAGTGAAAACTGTGCCTACCTATGGCGGGGGTGTTGGAACTAGGGGATTGTTAAGGTCTCTTCCAACCCAAACCTTTCTGTGATTCTATGGTATATCATACCTAGCCATATTTTTAAATATATTCACCTCTATCAAAAGTTAAGGGGTCTGGGACCACCTGACACAACTGCACTTCACTCTTCTCAAAGTGAAAACCAAAAATTAAAAGAAAAGGTGTTTTTCTAGGCTTAAAAAGATACTATGCACAAATACAAAGAGACAGATGTAAAGGACTCAGTGTTTTAAAAGCTTAGTGAGTCTCTAAGAGCTTTTGAAGAGGCTGGGACTCTCAGGATGCTGGCAGGATCACTGAATGAGGTACACTGTCAGGGCTGTCACAGAATCACAGATTGACTGAGGTTGGAAAGGACCTCTGAATGACATCTTGTCTAACACCCTGCCCAAACAAGGCCACTTAGAACAGTTGAGACTCCATAACCTCTCCGGACAACCTGTGTCAGTTCTCAGTCACCCTCAAAGTGAAAAAGCATTTCCTAATGTACAGGAGGAAAGTTCTGTGTTTCAGTTTGTGCCTATTGCCTCTGATCCTACCACTGGGCACCACTGAAAAGAGCTTGGCTCTATCTTCCTTTCACTCTCCCTTCAGGTGTTTATATACAGTGATAAGATCCCGCCCTGAGTCTTCTGTTCTCCAGGTTGAACAGTCCCAGGTCTCAGCCTTTCCTCACAAAAGAGATGTTCACTTCCTTTCATCATCTTTGTAGCTCTTTTTTGAACTTTCTCCAGTATGTCCAGTATGTCTCTCTTTTACTCGAAGCCCAGATCTTGGCACAGTGCTTCAGGTGTGGCCTCACTGGTGCTGAGGGAAAGGATCACATGCCTTTACCTGCTGGCAAGGGAGAGCATTTATTACAAGGAGGCATTTATTACAGCCATGTTTCTTTTGATATGGTTTATAATCTAGAGGATTTGCAGTGTTTAGTGTTCTCAAAGGCATCCAATTTTCCACTTTGATCTCCTGATCACACCTAGAAAAAGAGCATGTTCTGGATCCACTGATACTCAAACAAGTGTTCCATCACTGGCAAAACACATAGCTCTTAATCTAGAAAACTTAATCAGAGAGGTGAAAAAGAAGCTGAATTCCTAGAATTTTCTGAGGAAAGACCAGCCCATGCAAACAAGATGGGCAAATCAAAAAGTCCTTGATTACTCAGCACCAGGTCAGGACATTTATTGGTGGAGCACAGCTGGGACTGCTCCAGCCTGGCAGCTGCCGTGATCTCCTGGGTACTGTGGCTTGGTGCAAGGCCCAGAAGACTTTTATAAATTAGGCCTGCTGAAAAGAGGTGATGCAATAAATATTTTTGCTGTTTATCTCATAGAAAGGCAGTGCAATCCAAAGGAGAGACTGACCTGCTGCATAGCCCTGCCAAGGCCTCTTTACCCCTCTAGACCTCTTTCTTCCTTCACACACCTCCATTGTCAAATGCCTGTACAAAATGCAGAGAGTTACCCCAGAGATTGTCTGTATTTACTACTGCATAGTGTTTCTTCATAGACCAGGTCTGGTAATACAAAAAAAAAAAAAAAAGAAAGAAAAAGAAAAGCATCCCCTCGCATGGAAGTGTATCAATTCAATAAATTGCATATCCCCTTAAAGGCAATTTGCTTTCCAAAAACAGTGCATAATGTAAAAAATCTATGTTGTGTAGCTTGCGTAAAGTTTTAATGCCATCTTCAGTAATCGTTTAAACAGAAATGTTTCATTTTAGGTAAACGTTAACATTATGTTAAGCTGTATTCTACTTCTGTGTACTAACAAAGGTCACCAATGGAGTAATAAGTGTTTGAGGTTTGCAGGATTGCTTTGATGTAAATTCTATTTGCCACTGGTATTCTTCATTTACCACATATATCCCTGGAGAACAGCTTGCCTGCATAGCTCATAAATTTGCTATAAATCATGATGCTTCTATTACATCATTTCCAACCTATCCGAGCTAAATACACAACATGATTTTTTTTGTTCCCTATGTGAAATTTCCAGTTTGGTGGCATATCTGCTGCATAATAAATTCCAGACAGTCATTTTTCATGGTATATCTAACGTCTGCATTTTGGACCCAATCTAGTTGATTATTGAAATCTGTGGGAGTTTGCCAGCGGTTACAGCAGGACTAGAATCGTGTCCTCTTTGTATCTAACTTGCCTTTGTTGCAGCAGCATGCTGGTTTGGAATTAGTATCTGGAGCTGCAAACATCAAATGTGCTAATTGTCTGCTGAAATGCTGGGTGTGGTGCCAGAAGTAAGTGTTGGGTTTCTATTTCAATGCTGTTTGTTTTCTCTTATGATTTAGTGCCACAAAATTAATCTGTTACACTTTTCAACAATGGCAAATGAGGAAAATATTGACTTACAATGAACAGTTCTGCAGTCTGGCAAAAATAAGGGCCAGATGCACCATATTTCTGTTTGGTTTCTATTATGCATATTTTCACTCCAAAATAGGGAAAGGGAAAAAATGATGTGATTTTATATGTTAGTATTAGCAATGCTAGGTATTAAATCTTGTTGAAAGATAAGTCTGTTAGTGTAAGTCACCATTTGCAAGCTTTTTGAAAACACATTAGTCTCCAGAAGTGCATATTCCATTTAATTCAGTGGAATTATCCATGTACATTCAGTTGTGTGTCTGCAGTATTGGGACTTTGTTCAGTAGGAAGCAGAAAGGTGAGATAACACTGCTGTTTTATAATACTCAGAAGTACTCAGACTAAGAATAGCAAGTGCATCGAAGTCATAGCAATCATGTGCTCTGCTTTTGACTAGGGGTATAATTTGATGCTTACATGTGTGTCTTCCTGTTTTCTGCTTATCTCTGGTAACAATACAATGCTGAATAAAACTAAAAGTGCCTGAATACTGAAACAGTGTTAACAGCACAATCTCTAAAAGTAAACAAATACAAATCACATCTTTAGTCAAGATTTTTGTACAACTCATTAAGAAACAAAATAGGATTTTTTAAGGCTTAGTTGTTTTGGCGGTACAATGGTGGAAATATATTCACAGTGCTGTTTATGAAAATGTGTTCTTAAAAAAATTGAAAGACTAATTTTTCATTTGTTCATCTCTGCTCATCTTCTTCAATCCATTCATTGCAAAAGCAGCAGC